AAAGCCTTGTGCAGAAAAAACCTTTATATTTTATATTGATAAAGAGTAAAGCTTAGAAAGTCCAACAAGACTTTCTGAAAATAAATCTGTACAAAACTCCATGAGTAAATCACTGTTTATGTTTCAGATTTCTTAAAAAATTCACGTCCCTCTAATTTTTCTTAGAATTCCCTGGGAGCTTTGGGAGGAAAGGGATTTTTAAATTTATTTTTATGATCAGGTTTATCAATTTTAGACCTAGGAAAAATATTATACAACTCAACCCAATGGTCAGAGCTCATGACAAGGTAAAACAGGAACAGAAGGATCTCCCTGATAGAAGAGTATCATGTTTTGATTTTACTATTTCAACCTTTCAGGAAACACTTTTCCAACAAGACAACCATTCTAACTATGAAGGTAGGTAGAAAACAGTGACAGAAGAAACATTCACCTGAATAGTCTTAAAGGTGGTTTTCCTTTCCTTCGTCACACAGTAGTTTAAAAGAATTCAAGAATCAGATTTCTATTCAAGGTGCACTTCATGCAGTCATGATTTCAAATATCAAAGTATTACTGCTTACAAATCAGTAATTTTAATTTAAAGCTACAGCTAAAAGTATGGTGCTGTACCAAGCCATTGTTTTTCATTCCACTTTTCCACTTGAGCTACCTTAGGTACCATTCAAGTAGAAAAAGTACACCCAAAAGCTGCTACATGTACAAAAACACCCAAGTACTAATGCAGCCTTCAACACCTCCAAGTTAGAAAAGCAAAAATGCTCCTGGTAGCTTGTCTAGAGAACCAGAAATATTTTCCAGGCCACTGTTCCTCTTCCCTTGCCACCTTTACACAGGAGTTCTGCTGCAACATTTATTCCACTCATGCTGCTCTTTGTCCCATCAGACTGCTCAGCATTATTGCAGCTGCAAAACCCACCTGCTACTCCCAGGCAGTTCTGGCTCTGCCACCTCTCCCCACCCCATCACTCCTCCTGAAGAGGATTTGCTCAGTCTCCTGGAAAGGCTGTCCCCTCTTCTGCCTTTTTGCAACACTGCAAATGGGAATCCCAGGTGGCTCCTGCTAATTACCCACGTGCATTGGGAGTCTAATTCTTCCCATTGTTAATATACCCATCTTTAGCCACAAAGTCACTTCATATGCTAATCAGGGACCAGCTGATCCCAAGCTAATACTTGATGTACTCAGGAGAACGGATCTGCTGGGGGTATTAATGACAGCAGAGCAAGATGAGCTTGGAAAATAGTTCCCAAAAGATATTGTATCACTTCTAGTTCAACCCTATAACAAAGGATTTGCTTGTGCATTTGGGGCTTGGTTGCTTCCCTCCCTTGCTGAGGGCAGCCACTTCACAGGCAGGAGGAGATTGAAGAAATTACATTTTTCTTTTACACTGTTAGATTGCAGATTAACAATTGTTAAGTCTTATCTAATTTTTCCATATAAAAGCTTTGGCGTTTACGGGATGCTTGAAACATCAGCTTCAATCCAAAATTAAAACGAGCATTTCTATGGATAAAAATTCTCTATGAATTGAATAGTCTAGGACAGGATTCAGTCCTGCTGCTGAGAGCAACGTAAAGTAACTTAGGAAATTTCTGCTTTCCCCACAATTTGCCATCCCTTCAGCCTAATCTGGTTCACCTGAAAACAGCTGAGGCAGCACAATGAAAAAATCAGCACGGTAATGTCCTGGGCTGGCATTGCTACCACAGAGCATATTTCTGGTCAGAGCAGATCCTACATTATTCTTGAATGCCTTGAAATACAGAAGCTCCATAAAATTTCCAGTCTGTTGGGACATCAGAACATGAAACGTCCCACGTAAAATCCACACTGCAAGGATTTCTCATTGTGTGTTTTTGTCTGTAGGACAGCTCCACGTTTCCACTTGGTTAACAGTGTGTTCCAAGTCATTTTGAAGATGCTTACAAGAACATTGGGAACAGCCCTTCATATCCCAAAAGGTGGAATCAGCACAGTTTCTACAGCCTGCAGCAGTGCCTGGTGTGAGTTCTCATTTCAAAAGCAATTCACTCAATGGTAAAACAGTGATTCAAGGGAAGTTACCTGTGCTATCTTTTTACAAGCTGGAAAAAGCTACTATGAGATGGAAAAGCATCTGTGAGATGAAAACACATGGCATTTTAAAAGAGAACCAAGCAAAATTTATGGGTATCTGTTAAGATTTTAGTTTGGGGTTTCATTTTTTTCGAGGATATGAACAAGAAGTTCCTTCTTCAATGGGTTTCAAATTGTCCCTCAAGTAGAAAAATCAAAAGCTATGAGTTTTGCAGTGTTTTTTTCTAAGGAACTACCAGTTCAAGCCTCCATTATAAGATATTCATCTCATGTCTGAGTATTCTTCAGTTTTAATTCATGGTGCTGATGAAAGACAAAAGGATCCTGCAGCTGTATAAAGGTTCAAACAGCTCAAAAAGCAGCAGACACATCCAGCTGTTTAAGCAGCACTGTGAGATTGCTACAAAACTGGGATAAAATTTCCATTTGTGTACTGAGAATGTTCAGCTGTAGAGTAAAACATCCACCTAAATGAGTGTCATGCAAGTAACAGATATAACAGGCAACCACAACAAAACATATTTTACCACCTAAGCGTGTTCTAGATATGAATATCATCACATTTAATGTATTTTATTATTAGGGCTCAAAATCATATGCAAGTCCTTCACATGCAAGTTATGTACATCCTTTCCAGGCCATACCCATCCAGGTTTCAGAGTACCATCCTGAATATTTTAGCTATAACACTGATACACTTGTCTTACACCAATGCCAAAACAGGTGTTGGGGGTAGGACAGAAAGCCACAGACACCCCTGGCCTTTCTCTAAAAACAGTTTTGTAAAGAGCATTTTGCACATAAAAGGCAGCTGGTTATGTTTTAACAGACTCTTGTGTAAACAGAAGTGCTCAACAGATGTGCAGAGATGGTTATCAACATCATCTTCATTTTCAGAACCAATAAAACTGGACATGATGACTATTCTCTGAGCCATTTACCTACCTCTGAAGATAAACTGGATTCACTAATATCTGCTGTGGGATTGAGAAAAACTGCATGTCAAAAGAATGGAGTATTAGAAAAAGTGAGAAATGAGAATGTCCAGCTAATTGCAGCATTTCAGTCTGCAAATAGGGCTCTTCACTGATCTGAAACTGCAAACAGACAAGTCAACGTGAGGGAAGGGAAGGCAAAAAGACTTGGAAGCAGATTTATATTTAGCAGCAGGTTAGATGGAGAGAAAAGGCTCAAGGACAATGGCAGGTCTTTTCTTCCTTCAGCTAAACCCCCAACGCATTTTTGTGAAAGAAAGCAAGTCGTCTGCTTTCAACTGCAGCCCAAAACTGCATTATGTCTCCTGGGTGCTTTGATTTTTTTTTCCCCCCCCCTCTTTCTAAATCTCAGCACACAGGCAGCTCCAGGGCTCAGTAGGAGAAATTCTTAAAAGCACGCCTGCAGAAGTGAAGAGATCAGTCATTCCCTCGTCCCCGTGTTCCGGGAGCTCCCCCACCCAGGCAGCCTTGGATGAGATTTCACGCAACCAGACATGTCCCTTTTTTAAACAGCCTGAAAAATTTACAATCCTTTAAGAGCAGGCAGAGCATTCCTTCAGACTGGAGAGAGAAACACAGAAATGTGCTTCAATTCTTCACAAAGGTCACGTTAACCTTCAAAATTCTACCAAACTTCTTCTCCCCCTGCGCAGTTCTATTATCTTTAGTAATTTGTGACATTCTTTACAAAACACTCTGGGGTTTCAGAAAACACAAGATCCCAAAGTGAACATGATGCAAGCAATCTTTGCCTCGTCATTTTTTCCTAGGTTGCTTGAAGTTTCCAAAGTCCAGATGTTTTTCCAGCTGTCTCCCCTGTCCCACTACTGCAAATGCATAGGTTCCTTCTTCAGAATTACTATTTTAGACACATTTTCAACTTACTCTGTGCTTCTCAGTCCATTCTTTTCAAATAAATATACCCATACTTTGGATTTAGTGTGACTTACTGTATTAGAAAAATGACATTAGAAAGTTTTAGCAGGTATGTTCAGTGTATTTTGACAAATGCAACTGTGCTGAAAGCGTGATGTGTTTTCATAAAACAATACTTAGCTTTAAAATCGAGAAAAAAATTTTAAACAGTTACCTATTTTCAATGTCTATAGTCACATGTCCAACCTTGCGCCATTAACAACTTTGTACCATCAACCATTATCTCCAACCTTCACCATTAAAATATTACTGTGCATTTAACAGTAAAATGTCAGTTAATCTTACTTTGAGCTTGTCATGAAGCTAATTTTAACCCCCTATTTCTCCAACCTAAAGGCAGTAGGGAAAAAATTGGGAAAACTGTTAATTTTCCATTGCCTTTACCCAAATACTCTCCAGCAATAAGCAGATACACCCACATTTCAGAGACTTCTTTGCTCCAGAGTACTGAACATCAAACCTTTGAGATGGATTTCAAACCCGCTGTTTGACGCACGCTGGAGAACAAATCACTTTTCAGAGTCCATATGCAATCGAAGAAATTCTGTTCAGAGGTTAGAACACGAAGCAGGAAGACATCTGTGCTGCTTCTGTCTGCTAAAATCAAATTTACCAACAGGCTGCTATGGTTAAGGATACATCACCTACAGGATTTCCCTTCATACCCTGCACAGGATCTCTGGTGAAGGCTGAGCTGAGGTAACATCAGTCATTTCTCTTCACAAGCACAGTGTAAAAAAAAAAAAAAGATTAAGTTTTGTAGCTGTTACACAGCTGAATCATCACCAGTACCTGAACGTGACAGAGAAGATATCCTTCCACAGCATGAGACAGGTAGTATAAAATAAACTGATTTTGTTATCCTAAAGCTTACAGAAATCCACTACAATTACATCAGGGTAAAAATATTTATGGAAAAACAGCACAGAATTTTGAGCATACGAGTGACTGAGAATTTGGCTCTGGAGAGGATTTCTGGAACTTACCTATGGTGCAGTTTGTGGTTATTTTTCTCCGCTTGGGGTTGTGTCGTAGCAATTCTAACTCTCGCTTGGTCGGCTCCCATGTTGAATACTTCTCTCCAATGCCTAAGCAGAAGAAAAGAAAGTTTCAGGGAGTTGTTTAGTAAAAGGATTAAAAACTCTATTCAACAAAGTCGTAAGTGCTGTCCATTAGGTTAGATTTGATCTATGTACAACTACAGGAAACTCATTGCTTTCTATCCCTCCTCCCAGAAATATGGTTCAGAAAGGTATCACCCATTTTTCAACATTTCAACAAGTATGAAGGAAGAAAAAATAAAGAGCACTTCTTTACTTATAAATAATAGCTAGGTCAATAAACTTTCCATTATTGGATTATAATCCTCCTTCCAGTTAAAAAGAAATTCCAGCACAAGAACAAACTCACTTTTACTCGAAAATACATTTCTTTGTGCTCAGAGGAGGTTAAATGACAGAACCACCACATGATTTTAGAAGATACAGGATAACCAGGAAATCTCATCACCAAACTTTGACAAGCTATTAAATAAATCTAAGCTGACCCAACTTAATGGACAGATATAGGCTTTATCTTTACAGAACAGCAGAATTTACTAATTCCATACACTAAACAGTTACTACATGTGTTAGGATACACCATTAGAGTATGACCTCTCCTCATACCATAAATGTAAGATTGCACATTATCAAGTTTTAATTCTTGAGATTCGCTTTACTGACATTTGGCATTTCCTAAAAATGGAATTAGTAGCAGGTTCAGACACCACCCTCCCTCCACCAACCAGCCCAAACTCTCCAAATGTTAAACTACTTTTTCTCATGAACTGCAGCTAAAAATCTCTCATTATTCTCTTTAAACACCAACACTGTATTTCCAATCCATTGTTTTTGTTCAAAGGAAAGTGCAGTAGAAATGAGTCAGGTAAGCAGCACGGAGAACAGATTTGAAATAAGCACAGGGTTGTGTTCAGTGTAAACCTGATACAAGAAAAACACAATAGTGAAGACTCACGTGCTGACCAGCCAAGTACTGCTGCAGCATTTTATGTAGCACAGAAATTACTATGCAAGGTCAATTATTCTGAGTCACAAAGGCATCTTGGCATTGAAAATAAAGAATAATAGGATGACAAGCAATCTATTCTAAAACTGAGGATTAAAGTCAATTAAGAGTTATTTTTCACAGAGTGCATGGAGCAGAAACAGCGCCGTGCTACAGAAAATAAATTATAAATCATATATATGAAAAGAAGGAGAGTGGAAAAATATAGCTGGAGGCTTACACATTCTGCATAATATACATTAAATTTTAATAGCTCTTTGATCTTCATTTTCAGAAATTGCTATGCTTGTCAGAAGCTACCCTCCCAAAAATGTTCAATTCATAGTTACTACTGACCCTCCAGGTTCTACTAAGAGAAGGTCTCATTTTTGGATTCTCGAGGACTAGAGAATTCTTATTTACACAAATGCACCCGTCTCTCACTTTATTTGATTCAACAACAGATTACTCAAGGAGCATAAGGGAGAATACCAGAATCATGCAATCCCTTTCCTTTATCCAAGGTTCAGCATCAAGCTACACACCCAGGAAAACAGAAAAGGCAGGGAATGACTGAGAGGCTGATGAGATGACAGAGCTGCAAAGCTTTGAACACGCTGCAGGTTTGCAGAGGCAACGCGTGGGAGACCCTTTGGAGACGCACATATGGACAGTTCACACAGGACACAACACTGGTTTCCAACAGGTTGGGTATTTGATGTCTTCAGCAACCAGATTTATAAATGCTCCCTTAGGAATTTATGGAAGTAACTTTCAACACCTTGTTAGTAGCAGCAGTTGCACTGGGCAGCTGTGAACTCTTGTGTTTGGGTTCGCCATAGTTAAAACACGGCCAAACACAATCAGGATCACGTGATGTTGCAATGAATTCTCATCATAAAATTTAAAAAGAAACCCCTTGGATATGTATAAATCCTGGCTTAAATCAAATATAGCAAAATTCATACCTGGGAACACATGTGCGCTCAACTTTAGCCATGCAATAGGTCCACATATGTCAGGGACTATTCATATATATTTATATATATATATATATAATTATATAGCTTAAATGGTTATAGAGGATGGGGACCAAAGCATTTCACAAGAGCAACTTTAAGTAAGGTTAAACACGACACTCTGGATCACTCTGAAAGGTTCTGGGAGAATCAAGTATCGTTCAATTAAAAAGAAATGAAAGCAAACAGAAAACCATGTACAGTTAATGGCACAGAGCAAACCAGAGAGAAAACATTCTTGCAGAAGCCTTTCATTAGAAAAAAGCACAAGTTAAGTCAGACACAGAAATTAAAAAGTGTTTTCTTCCAGCTATATAATTTGACAGTAATACTGAGGTTTTACTACTCTTGAAAATTTGGGAAAAAAGACAGAACCATTTATTAGGAATGGTTTGATGTTTAAAAATTAAAAACAACCAAAACACAAAAAACGAAAAAGGTTTAATAAAAGCTTTAATAACACTCACAAGCATGCCAAAAACTCCAATATAAACTACCTTAAACAAAGATTTGCAAACCATGCACGTCACCATTTACAGTTAAAGAAAAACGGCATTAGAGAAGTGAAAATTAGTACTTTTTAGAATGATGCTATAAAATAGCCAGAGATTAAAGTAAGCATGAGAAATCTCCATCTAAGGAATTATTTTATTAGGTGAAATACTCAAATTGGCATTTCTCAGAGACTTCATCAGGGACATAGGGATGAGTAAAGGAAAAGGCAGTAAAGGTTCTGGTTTATAAAAGTCACAATTTTGCAAGTAATTATCATTTACTTTGTTAAACTTCGGCAAATTCCGCTTTTCCCCTCCCAAAAATCCAAACATTAACTAGAACGAAGGGCTCTGTGTATTCTCACCTCCCTCATCATTAGAGAATATTCAATACCAGAGGAAAAATAATGGTCAAGTTGCAACTTGTTCAGAGTTACATCATGTAACCCTGAACTACAGGTGGACACGTGAACTCATCACACTGGGAGTTAATACTACGAGAGTATGAAATGAATCTCATGATTATTTGGGGGTTTTCTTAAAGTTTTTTTTCTCCAGGCATCATGTTGTTATGTGAGCATCTATTGAAGTATAAACTAGCACCCTTCAAGCACTGTGGATAGAAATTTGAAAATATGCTGCATTTACTCTTCAGTTTTTAAGCCAATCTCAGTTTTTGCAGACTGGATTCACTTCTGAAGTTCTTTAAGTTGCCAACATGCTCTGAGGTAAATTAACTCTGTGGTAGAAATACAAACCCAAGACACTGAGTTTGGGGTTTGCACTAATCTTGACATTTAATCTGGAGAAAGAAGCGTTTCCATCCCTCTTTATATCTTTCAGATAACATGAGGGAGGGAGGGGATGGGTAGAAGCAATGGAGAAAGATGGAAAAAATCAAGACAAATTCTCCATTAGCTCTTCCATGTGTCTCCCTTTCTCATTCCTTACATAAATTTGTGAGGAAACACACGTGATTTCACAGTGAAAAGCCACAAAACAGAAGAACCTATGCTATGACTTTAAAGAAAATATGTCTATACTTCATACCCTGGTAATTTAAAGTGATGTTGCCTATTCCTTCATTTTATGTGTTCATTGGTCACCAGAGATTTGTTCTGCAGGGCCATGTGCATATTTATACATATTTATACATATTTTGATACATATAAACATACACATATGTATGTATATATGTGAATATGCCATTCATGAGTCAGTTAACCTGTACAGAGGTGGTTTCCTGCCTGGCAGTTCTTCTTGGTGACTCTTCATCCTCCTCTGCACAACTCTGCAGTCCAAGATGACCAGATGAACAATCTTGTAGCTCTAATTACCCTGGAATTTAAGCTACAGGCTGATGGCCACTGCAGGACAAACTGGCTGCATCTCAGTCCAGAAGACACAAACATATTAATTGCTAAGGACAACATAACTAAAAAATTAAGTCTTAAAATTTGCATATTTAAAAGTAAGGAACTGGTGGGGCTTCCTCTTCTATAGCACGGTGAAGATGTGTTATGTTGTTGCAGTTGATTAATTTTCTGCCCCAAACAACAGTTTGAAGGGTTGGAAGGAGTTTCCAGAAGAGATGCTGAGCCTAAATGAAAGGTTTAGAAACATGTTTCCATTTTGTCTTGCTCTGAAAACTCCTGCTTTGTGCTAAAGCATTTTAAGGTGTATTTCCTTGTTGTAGGACTCAGTGGCAGCCTCACTATTCTCCTTTCCTCTGGCTCAGTTCCCTCAAAACAGGGAATAAGCAGACAGTAGACTGGGAGCTGCAGTAGGAAGCAAGGTAAGGCAGTTATCTTTCGATAGGCCATCAGGAAAGCTCTCGTTAATACGATGTTGGCTGCTATTTTTAAAATTGGAAATGAGGTTAAGAATGGTTTGAAGTCATATCAGCCCTGACTAAGGCTGTCACATTGAAACAGGATGCCATGGATTCCGTAGGAGACATCACCAGACAGAAGTCATCTGTCTTCAAATACAGACTTTCCCACTTTAAGAAAACATCCCCCCAGAGACCACTGGAAATGGAAGATGACAAGCTTTTAGAACTGATGCTTACAAACTACTCAGTTTAGAGTAAATGATGCTCCCTTTCCAAACAAACAAACAAACAAACAAGGAGAAAAGGTTTGTTTTGTAGTAGTTCTACCAAGGAAAGGGCACATGAAATCAAGTCTGCTGCAATTATTCAATCACTGGAACAACATCCAAACAAGAGGAAAATGATTTGCACGATAAAACTGGCATTTTTAACTGTGATTCATGTCTAAAATGGCAGGATAATCAGCAAAGGGACGCTTGTTAGTGAGGTGCGTCGCCAGCCCACGCCTCTTACCTGTCATTGTACACTGGTAGTGAGAAACCACTGTTGGGGTGAAGGCTAAAAAAGAAAAAATTAGGGAAAGCAAACTGAATAAAACAAATGTGTGTACATATATTTGTGTGTAAATACTTCTACATAGATACTGTGCGTGTACCATGAAAGCACAGGTGTGTAAGTAAAGCTGGCACGTTCTATTAAAAAAAAATAATAAAAAAAAAATCACACACAAGGGTGGCATTTCATGTGAGGGGAACAGATTTATTGCCTGTATCACGTAAATAAGCCTAAAGGAGCAGACTGTTACATTTGCTACCTAATACAGATCTGACTCTTGATTTTATGCAAGTTTTGCAGGATTAATGTTAGAATTTATTTTTTTTTGTGTGCAATTAAAAATAAAGATATTTTTGCTGCAATTAGGTGTGGTGCACATGTTAAACCCACAGTCTGACTCCTGGAAAGTAACATCTAACATCTCTCTCCCATGGCCTGCACTACTATCTCTAAAGAGCTCTTTCTTCCCCTTACTGTTTTTTGCCACTGACAAATGGGAGGGACAGGTATGATTAAAAACAGAAACAAGAAATTCAGGCAGGAAAACCAAACCTTGTAATTTCCAAGCTTTTCGTTGTTCTTCTTTGGCAATTTGTTCCATGTCTTTGTCGTATATGTAATCTTGACACATAAAGCAGTATATACCCCCATACAAAAGGTCTATGGCTGCAAAACAGAAGGGAAGTCGGGGAGGAGGGAAAAAGATGTGAGTTCATAAACCAGAAGGCATTTTAAAGCAGGCTTCCAAGTCAGGCATTCTTTCTTCTAAGCAGTCCACAAAAAGAGAAAAATCTGTACCTTAGAATCTGGAAAGAGGGGGCGGAGAAAAAAAAAAAAGGAGAGAAAACCCCAGACATTTTTCCAGTTTTGTTATGAGTTATTCAGTTGCTTCTGGCACAGCAAGAAAACTGTGCAGGACAACAAAGCATCATCTGCCTTCAAGTTTTTGTAATTCACAATTTACCTTTCAAACATGTAAGTAACCAAGAGCCATCACGACAGTGACTGAACCACAACACACGCAGAACTAGGAATGGAGGATTTGATGGGCAAGTTTGAGCTGTCTTATCCTAAAACTTTAAAGCCATTAGAATAACTAGAAAGCAACTATTTAAAATCCAAATGAAGGCTCAAACACAAGACAGCACTGAAAACTCAAAGACACTTGTCCAGGGGAATGGTTTTCCGGAATAGTTCATTCCACAGGTTACTTCTGTCTCAATTTCTCGTTTCACTCACCCTTTTAGAATGGAAAAATGAACAATGACCAATTTTAAAAATACTTTTCTTACACCACCCTAAACAAAAGAAAGCTAAGAAACAAAATAAATCACCTAACCAAGAAATGTCATTTAGCTCCAACACATATCATGGAGGAATATAAGTACAAACCAATCACAGCAAAATGTTGATTTTCACTACATAGATATGGAAAAAAGCCACAAAAAACAAACAAACAACCAGTGGGCACTAACAAATCCTTAGCCAGCTACTGCAATACAATCTGCACCAGCAAACAGCTGAGAAACACATCACCATTGTCCCCCAAGTGTTCAGCCTCCATTTACTTTGCTTCCAAATTCCTCTTATTCCTAGATAAATAGCATGATTTTAATAATCTCACTACAGTGGAAACTTGTTTTAAACACAGGAAACCATTACCACATTAGGTGGCCTGCAAGAAACAGCACTGAATTGCTCTGAAGTGCTAAATAAGCCAAACCACATTCCAAGCAGCAGGAATTCTGCCGTGGATCTCAGCAGGCAAACACAGGTGAAGTCCCTGTGCTGCCCTGCCAGTGGGACAGTGCTCGTGGTGAGGTTTGGTAAAGTTCCTTTCTAACCCCATCTCCTCCACCCTTCACAGCCTCCACCCCCTCACAACTTGCTACCCCTCTCTCCTTTACTCCTGTGCAACCTTTTTTTTCCCCTCCTTCTCCTCTTCCAAAATCACTTTTTCAATTACTATGTCAAATTGCTTGCTAATTCTCGTATTATGCAATAAATAACAATGATTTTAAACAGGTTTTTCACCTTGCTTATGTGTTTCATTCTTTTGTTTTGCCTGTTTGGACCACACTCAGTTTATGGAAGAGGATAAAACTGCTTGCAATATCTCATGTAAAGTCACAAAACCAGGATTTTCATTATCTTGTGTAATGTTCCAACACCAGAATTTTCACTCTGATACCTAGAGGACTTAATATCAACTCCTTTAGCAGAATATCCCAAAAGGAGACAGCACTGAGCTGTGGTGGAGATCAGTAAAAAAACACTATGCAACTGAGGGGGTGACATATCACAAACTGCAGAGTAATAGAGTTCTACAACATTTACTCCATTATCTATTGCATTACCAGTTCTGCACAGTTTTCTACAAAAAACTTGCTGAAACTCCAAAATATTGGTCTTAAAACACAAAATCTAATATTATTCTCCATGCATTTTTTTAAAAGATCCTACAAACAGCTCCCTCCCCTCCAAATAATAGAACAGGGCTGGCAGAATAGTAAATAAACATGCTGTGAGCACTAATAGTTTCAATCAGAACACGCAGGCACGGCTGTGCTCCGAGGATTCCTTTTCCTTTTCTTTCTGGATTTACATGCATGAGCGATGAAGTAGAGATGTCAAGACCAAAACCAGCAAGAGACCCCCTTCCACAAACCACTTGTTCAGAGCAGGAGGAATTTCTGGTGTAAAGAACCACGAGGTTTAACGGAAACACCGGCGCAGTCAAAGCCGTAATTGTCCCGTGCCTGATTAAGGGCTCTTGAGGAAATATCCTCTCTCCAGCACACTTATGGGAACAATACAGTTGTATATATGCCAACACTTGGAATGTCTTTTTAATGACTGCAGTGGGGTTTGGACAAATTACCTCAAGCACCAGTGACAAGGCGGCCACACAGGCCTGGTCACAGCACGAAGGAAGGGCGGGAGTTTCTCACGAAAGCCAGAAAGTGGCTGCTCAGGAAAAGAGTCCACTAGGAAAGCTTGCAAGTTAATTGTTTCAGATTAGTATAATTTGATTTCTTTTCCCTTGAAATACACTTCAACTTTCTTATTCTGGTCATCTTGAGGTGAAGAAGAACGGAGGAGCCAGTGAAGGGACTGTCTCACTGACAGAAAGTCTTCCAAGGAGAGCAATTTCTTTGCACTAAGTTACACCACATCAAAAGCACAAAAATCCATACAAAACTTCTCCCCTCAAAGGATTGGGGGATCTCACTGTTAGCAACAGGCTAAAACTTTTTTTTTTTAATTAAACTACATTGCCATGAAGTTCTATCCCAAACTGAATCACCTGGCCAGAAAATTCCATAAAAAACACGACGACAGTGAAGTGCGAGAATGCACATGGAACAAATGTCACCATTTGCGCTCGTATTTGGGATCACAAAACTAACAAAAACGCCTTCAATTCATAAAAAGTTTGGGAACTACCAACCTAAAACTATGCCCAGATGTTTCAGATTAATCCACTGCAAGCTCTGCCACGATGCCCCACATTCCTACAATGAACATCTCTTTTAGGAGGCTCCTCCAAAAAGGCTGCTACTCCTACTTTCCAGGATCTTCTTTTCCTAACACTACCAACATCCTTCTCTCAGGAAGGTACAGGGGGATGAAAACAGTGAACTTCAGTTTAAGCTTAATACACATACAGAATTGATTACCCTGGAAAAATAAAATATGCATTCAGTAGAAATATACTATTTTCTCTCATAGGGAAGAACCAAAATAAATTTAAAAGAATCACAGTGTCATTTTATTAAATTTGATCAATCTAGATTCCTGTTTCAGGAATTCAAAATACCTACTTGGGGATCACAGGAAAAGCAATTTAAGAATGAAAAGAACTCTTAGAATGTAACGTGTTTCTTTGCTTTTATACCTTCTATGCTGACAACAGGCTGTCCTTCCCTTAAAGTCCAATCTCCTCCTACCTCTTCACATACAAAATTCTAAGCAACTGCAACACAAGAGAGAAATGAAAATGTATTTCATTTTTTATTTAAAATCAAGGCTATCAGCCTGGAGAAACAAGGAGGCATCACAGATGACCATGCAGGAATGAGAGCAACTTTATCAACTGGTGCCAGTGACAGTAAGTTTTGAAAGACAACACCTCAGGGGTGAAAGTTTAAATCTGGCAGCAAAAGGTCTTTAAACTCTCCAACTGGGAACCAAATATTTTATTTCAGTCCAAGTGGTTTATTTTGCCAAATATATCCATTGATGTCCTTGTGAAAATGTTAAGAGAACAGAGATAATGGGAACATAACACATCTTATCCAGGTAAAAAACTTGTATGTTCAGGTGAACAGAACTGACTTTCATCAGTTGGAGATGGGATACTTCACCATAATGTATGGCAGCATTCCATCAGATACATATTTGTGAATCATGTTTTGGTATCATCTCCCTTGGACCACTGATTGCACTCAAGTAGAACAAAACATCCAGCAGTAACTCAGAATTCAGGTCAGTTTTTACCTATATTGAAATGAATTCCACTGCAAATTTCTGTGACTCGGTCTTGGCATATTATCAACCTCAAATCAACACACTCTTGTGTTCTATGCAAGTCACCCATATTTTGTTCAGCTTCTGTAACAAAGGAGGCTAAATTGGTAATTCTTTGAGACTATTCTAAACCAACATCCTAAGCTAATTCATGCACCCTGATTTCTCACCTTAAGTGTTAATCATTAAACCCATTCCAGATAATTGGCTCAAGTTCCCAAGAAGTGATTTGCTAAACTTCAGCCAGCTCTCCACTGGTTCTTGTATCTGATCTATCAGCACAAAGCAGGCATCTGACTGCCTTCCTCAGGCTTCCCTGGCACCTGGAATCTACACCACAGGTCACAATTCCTTAATTGATAAGAAGGGAGGAAAAGGGGTGGAAGAAGGGCTAATCCTGCTAAATGGTGATCCAACCACTGAGAAGTGCAGATATTTACTGGGGGGGGGAGAAAATCAAACAAAAACAAACCCCAAACTTCCTTTTGTTGCCAAAAATGCAGCCTCACATACCTGATCTTTTAATATACATTAACAATTATGGCCATAGTTAAGCATTATCCTTCCCTCTCACATTCAGTATTTAAGATAAAGGGTATTTTCTCCTAATACTCGAGATGAAACCATTCTATTCTGTAAGTACTTCAACTAAGTGTTTTTGTGGGTTGTACTCTGCAGTCTCCAAGATGCCTATTGGCCCCATATGGATCTAGAATTTTAATGTTTAAACTTGATTTGCCTTCAATCCAAACATGGCAAGCACCCAACACTATCCTGCAAAGCACTTGAAACAAGGAGCCAAATGGGCAGTCTCTGTGCTGTACACTTGCCTCTGTGATGGTTTAGAGTATCATCCTACACCTCCATGTGAATTCAAGCCAGGAAAGGTAAGATGAAGGAAAAACGTCCAATATCCCTATGGAATCTAGATATAAAAATGCTTTTAACTGTTAATTTAGGGGAACCACAGCGTGTCAAACCATTTTATGTTAATTTGTTATGTGCAGAATATTAACTCCAGCTCCTTGACCTCATTCAGAAATACATGTATTGTACACACACACACACAATCTACATGTGTCCATGCATCCAATATGCTGAAGAGGAGGCTGTAGCATTCCTATACTAAAGCTGCC